GGGTTTTCATCCAAATGAGAAACTCTACCCCTTATCTCTAATGGGACAGGCACCAGGTTCCCAGAAGCAGCAACTCCCATGTCCTGCAGCATGGGGTCTTTGACCCTGGTAGCTGTGGGAAAAATTTTTGCAGCACCTTACTAAAGGCTGCAAATATTGAATGGTCATAAATACTAATAAAATAAAAGCTAAGATGGAGTTTTTCTAGCCCAGCATCTGCAAGGTCATCATTGGCCCTTTGATGAATGTCCCTCTGTGTTTATATTTTGTAACCATCAGACAGACCATCAACGTTGTGAATAAAAACCTCAAAATTCATGTCTAGGTTAACTTTGTAGGCTTTAGAAACAGTAAAGTTTTGTTAAAGCTTCCGTGTAGTCATCCTGTGCATCAATGACATATATCAGTATTCCTGTCCCCGTAAAGATGATCTCAAACCAAAAGCTGGGTCAAAAAAGTCCATTTGCCCAGGAAAACCCCATATTTGGAAATTCACAAAGGAGCTATTAGGAATGTCATCTTTGTAAGTCTTGATGGTCCTTTCCAAAAAGAGGGTCTCGTTGGGTGACATTTTATGAAACACCACCTTCTGAATGCAGGACTTGCCCGTTGCTCCGGAGGCCCATGAGCAGAATCCTTGACTTGGAGCTGTCAGCACCCCACTCGGGCTACAATCTCCGCCAGCCCCCGTCCCAACTCCGCCGCCCGCCGCCTCCCCTTCCTCCTGCTTCACGACATAGTCAAGTCCTTTGGGAACGAATCCGCCGCCAGGTACTTGCCTGCGAGGGGCGTCTCCTCCGCCCGGTACTGCAGGGACAGGGTGCTGAAGCCGCAGCCGCCCGCGCCCTGACAGGCCAAGCCAGACCGCTGCCTCCCCAGTCCGCCGCCGCCTGTAGGCAGATTCATTACCATCTGAGCCAATATAAATTTAGATGAAATCATACAGATAGGTTGAGTGATAATTTTCTAAAATGTTTTATTATTAATATAAACAGAAAAGTGCCATAAATTGCTTTGCTTGGGTAGACTAACTTCTCCCCAGCAGACCACAGAGCTGGGGTGTAGACAAGTTGAGCCCAGGGTGTTCCCATCCTCCCCCTGCAGTTCCCCTGAGGCAGCGACCTTCTCTTAGTCTCCCCTCTAGGGCCTGACCCAGGGCCTGACTCAGGGGCTCAATCAACACTCCCTGAAACACTACACTTGGGAAGTGGCCTCTTGTGTCCTAGTCAAGACAGTGACTTCCTCTAGTAGGCACCCCCAAATACTGACTCTTAGAGAACTTTTGATTTGCTCTAACAGCAGGACTGTGAAGGTGGCAAGTGGAAACATTGGCTTCTTTTGCTGACAAAACCATGGAGCCGGCAGCACTTGTGCTATTTCACAGAAGGCCCCAGAGGACAGAGTATGGCTGCTTATGATAAACACTCACCCTGCGCCCCCCCCGCCCCGGCCCCCTACTCAAAAGTTTTTTTTTCCCCAGTTAGCCTTAATCAGAACATGTTTGAACTTGGAGGATTTCTTGAAGGTACATTGATTTGCTTTTCTTCTTTCATCTCACTTGGAAGCTAATAAAAGTCCACTACAAATAACAAATATAAGTTGTCATAAGTTGTCCTGTGACACATGGATGGTAAAATTACGTGTCCAGTTCTCAATCTGTATCTAGCCTCTGTCCATCCTCTCTCCATCCATAAACATCTATCTATGCAACAATCTATGTAATGTACTAGAGATGCTTTTCAATCATGTTACCAAGGATTTGTGACATGAGTCTCTGTGTACTAAGTGTTCTGCTCAGAAGACAGTGGGAATGTCCCTGACGCCATGTGAAGGTGGGCAGTAGGTCTCAATGGGAGTCGTCCAAAGTGGAAGATCCACTCGGGGTAGTCAAGGTCAAGTCCATACTGTCTCCTGTCCCCAAAGCATTGAGTCTGCCTTCCTGGGGGAACTTTGTTAAAATCCTTCATATTCTAAGAAACATCAGGGTGCAAATAATGAGCAATATTTACAATAACTGTGGGAGAGAGATAAAGTGATTGTTTTAATTATCTGCTACTATGTCAACAACAACCTTCACGGTATTCCATTACGACCGCTACTCAGCCATGTGAGAGCAGAGTCTATACCTCGGTTTTCGAGTGTATTACAGACTCTCAGCCCAAAGTATGAGCCAAACTGGACAAAACATGTGTCAATACTGTTGGATGAATACATTTGGGATCAGGACCTGACAGATTGGAGAATGTATTTGATATCAGAACTCTTCTGGAGCCGTCCTGACAGGAAGTAATCATAAATTGTCTGCTACCTCGCCTGCCAGGCCCTGGACACTGTTAACCTTCCCATATCACCCCTCAGCCAGGACAACCCTGATCACAGGTATTCCCCACATGAAATCTCACTATCAACTCTAACTTCTTCGGCTCACTTTGGCCTCCTTGATTGTCCTACTGTGTGTTTACTACTCTAGGGATTCAGGGACACCTCTGATTCCCTTGGGGAACTAATATCAGATCCTATGGTTCCAAATAGGAAAAGAAGTACATCAAGGGTGTATATTGTCACCCTACCTATTTAACTTATACGCAGAGTACATCATGAGAAACGCTGGACTGGAAGAAGCACAAGCTGGAATCAAGATTGCTGGGAGAAATATCAATAACCTCAGATATGCAGATGACACCACCCTTATGGCAGAAAGTGAAGAAGAACTAAAGAGCCTCTTGATGAAAGTGAAAGAGGAGAGTGAAAAAGTTGGCTTAAAGCTCAACATTCAGAAAACTAAGATCATGGCATCTGGTCCCATCACTTCATGGGAAATAGATGGGGAAACAGTGGAAACAGTGGCTGACTTTATTTTTCTGGGCTCCAAAATCACTGCAGATGGTGACTGCAGCCATGAATTTAAAAGACGCTTACTCCTTGGAAGGAAAGTTATGACCAACCTAGACGGTATATTAAAGAGCAGAGACATTAATTTGCCAACAAAGGTCCATCTAGTCAAACCTATCATTTTTCCAGTGGTCATGTATGGATGTGAGAGTTGGACTATAAAGAAAGCTGAATGCCGAAGAATTGATGCTTTTGAACTGCGGTGTTGGAGAAGATTCTTGAGAGTCCCTTGGACTGCAAGAAGATCCAACCAGTCCATTCTAAAGGAGATCAGTCCTGGGTGTTCATTGGAAGGACTGATGTTGAAGCTGAAACTCCAATACTTTGGCCACCTGATGTGAAGAGCTGACTCGTTTGAAAAGACTCTAATGCTGGGAAAGATTGAGGGCAGGAGGGGAAGGGGATGACAGAGGATGAGATGGTTGGTTGGCATCACCGACTCCATGGACATGACTTTGGGTAAACTCCGGGAGATGGTGATGGACAGGGAGGCCTGGTGTGCTGCCATCCATGGGGTCTCAAAGAGTCGGACACCACTGAGCGACTGAACTGAACTGAACTGATGGAGCTAAAGTTTAAAGATGAGACTTAATTGACAAGGCAAGAATTATATGGACAAGTAAAACTCGACATGACTTAACTTGATGGTGTTGTTTTCCTGGAGCAATGAATGGTAAACTTGATGGCATAAAACAGATTATGTTTTTTTCTTTGAAGTGAGTGTGCTTGGTGAACATTAGCTTTACTCTGATGATGCTGAAAAGGATCTGATACACTGCAAGAGGAACAGAAGTAAGCATATCATGTTATAACAGAGCATAGAGTGGTATGTTAATTCTACAATCTGCTATTATTCACTTGTGTTAGATTAACTTAAGAAAACCTGGTGTGAATATCAGCCTGTCAAAATTCTCATGCTTAGATGAAATTCAAAAGATGGTGTTCTAATCTTAACATAGGCCTTGCACAAATATTGCTATGTTGTATTTCCTATTGCAAAAATGAGCTGCTTCTTTTAGGAAAATCAAAAGGCTTATAGTCATATTTCAAAAGGCAAATTAAGATATTTTTCTAAAAAAAAAAAAAACTTCTAAGATGACATAGGAAGTACACATCAAGCACTTCTGCTACATTCCAAAGTATTATATCCCAAGGAAAATAATTTGTCTGAGCTGAACTAACCTCTTTTTCATGGAATACAATGTTTATTTGAAAAAATGAATGATGCTGGAAGATCTACAAAACTTAGTGAAGCATTGTATTAGTTTAAAAAAATTTATATTAGTATAAAAGACAGTCAATGTGCAACATAAACTTATGGATTTTAGTGTAATAGAATAGGAAATATTCAATAATATCATTTTAGGCCACTTTCAAAATAACTTTGAGAAACTACCACTTTTGTAGTTTTAGTTTTGGATCAAAGATGAGCTTAGATAATTATCTGAAAAGTGATTTAAAATACTATTACTTATGTGTGGGCTTTTTATTTTCATAGATTTCAACCAAAGTAATGGATTTAACATAGAAGCAAACATAAACATCCAGAGATCTTCTAATGAGAGTGACAAGAACAGACTTGCAAAAATATAAAAATGTAAAAAGCTCCACCGTTCCCACTGTAGTGTTTATTTGGGGAAATAGTTATATTCCATATTAACTGTGTGAGCTATTAATATTATTCTAAATAAATGAATAAACAAATTCTAACTCTATTATTTCTACTATGGAAAATATCGATAGAAGTAACTATAAACAAAATTACCCTTGGGGTCCTCACTAATTTGTTGGATTGTATAAATATTCTGACCAAAATGTTTTGAAAATCGCTGACTACACAGCCTCTGGGCCAGGACTCAGGGAGTGGGACAAAAAGCTCTCGGTGCAGGACAGAAGGGATCAGGACAGAAGGGATCAGGACAACGTCCCAGGTTCCCCGGAGGGCGAGGCGCTCAGGGTCTCAGGGTCAAGGGCCCTGTCTGGGGCCGGGACGCTCCATCTTGGGTTTCCCGTCTCCCCAAGTTTCACTTTCTCTCTCACAACCCGTGTCGGGCCCTCCTGCCTGGACACGCGTGACGCGGCCCCACTTCTCACTCCCATTGGGTGTCTGATTTCTAGCTGCCAATATTCATCTCCGCGGTCCCCGGTTACAAAGTGTCCATCCACACGCTGGACTCGCTTCTCCCCACACCCGCTCCCCAGACTCGCTACTCCCATCTCCCCAGGAGATGAGGATCAAGGGGAAGAGGACTCTACTCCTGCTGCTGCCCGGTGCGCTGGATGTGACCGAGACGCGGGCGGGTGAGTGCGGGGTCGGGAGGGAACGGCCTCTGCGGGGAGCGGCGAGGGGGACCCAGGGAAGGAACGATCCCGACGCCCTCGGCCAGACCTGCCCCCTCCCCCTGTCCCGTCCTGTCCCTCCCTTGCTTCCCGCCCCCTCTTCTCTGCTCCCCAAGTCCTGGTCCTTTTCCGACATTTTCGGCCTCACGAGCCCCTCGCCCCTCCCTCCTCCCAGTTTGTCACCTCAGACCCGGGATCCGAACCGCAAGGAGGGTCGGGCCGGGTCTCACCCCTTCCTGCCCCCAGGCTCCCATTCCCTGAGGTATTTCTACACCGCCGTGTCCCGGCCCGGTCTCGGGGAGCCCCTCTTCATCATCGTCGGCTACGTGGACGACACGCAGTTTGTGCGGTTTGACAGCTACGACCCTAATCCGAGGATGGAGCCGCGGGCGCGGTGGGTGGAGCAGGAGGGGCCCGAGTATTGGGATGAGGAGACTCAGAGAGCCAGAGACGCCGCACAGACTTTCCGAGTGAGCCTGAACACCCTGCGCGGCTACTACAACCAGAGCGAGGCCGGTGAGCGACGCGGGCCCGGGTCCAGGTCACGACCCCTATCCCCAAGGAACGGCCGGGGTCGCCCTGAGTCTCCGGGTTCGAGGGTCACCCCAACACTGCTGAACACGCCCGGCACCCCGACCCGGGAGGAGCCGTCGGGACTTGACCCGGTTTCATTTCAGTTTGGGTTTAATCCCTGCGGATGGTCTGGGCGGGTCAGGGTCTCACACCCTCCAGGAGATGTTCGGCTGCGACGTGGGGCCGGATGGGCGCCTCCGCGGGTTTGATCAGTTAGCCTACGACGGCAGAGATTACATCGCCCTGAACGAGGACCTGAGCTCCTGGACCGCTGCGGACACGGCGGCTCAGATCACCAAGCGCAAGTTTGAGCATCGCGGTGTGGCGGATGACTACAGGAGCTACCTAAACCGCGAGTGAGCGGAGTGGCTCCGCAGATACCTAGAGAGCGGAAAGAACACGCTGCTGCGCGCAGGTATGAGGGGTGCGGAGCCTCTCTGATCTCCCCTCGGGCTGGAGCTAGCTTCCCAAGAGGAGAAGGAAGTGGGGTACCTGTGGGAACAGCACCCCAACTTCTTATCTGGAGAGGGAGGAATGCACCCAGGTTTTCGTATTCTGTACAAGACAGTGACTCGCCAGTAGCTTCATTTCTCTGAAGGACAATTAAGGAATCCAGTGTCTTTGGAGAAGAAGCAGGAAACCATCCCTGAAATAACTGGTCAGCGGTGCCCTTTCACCCTGCCCGCCATCTTATGACTCATGACTTTCTCAAGGCCTGTTCTCAGTCTGAAGCAGCATAAGAGGCCAGACTCCAGCTTTTCTGAGTCATTTAGTTTCCAGCAAAGTCAGGACCATTGCTCTGTATTCTCCCCCTCAACGTGGAGCGTCCTACCTTGGATCTCACCCTGACTCCAGAACTTTACAAGGACTAGGAGATTTTCCCAGACCTCAGAGCCCAGGCTGGTGTCTGGTGTTTGTGCTTTTTCTTTTCAAACTCATTTTCTCATCATTTCTCAAAATGGTCACATGATGCTTCCTCCGTGGCCCATGGGAGTAACAAAAAGTGTGAATTTTCTGATTCTTCCTCAGACCCTCCAACGACACATGTGACCCATTACCACATCTCTGAACGTGAGGTCACCCTGAGGTGCTGGGCCCTGGGCTTCTACCCTGAGGTGATCTCACTGACCTGGCAGCGTGATGGGGAGGACCAGACCCAGGACATGGAGCTTGTGGAGACCAGGCCTTCAGGGGATGGAACCTTCCAGAAGTGGGCAGCCCTGGTGGTGCCTTCTGGAGAGGAGCAGAAACACACGTGTCATGTGCAGCATGAGGGGCTTCAGGAGCCCCTCACCCTGAGATGGGGTAAGGACGGGGATGAGATGGAGCTTTTCTCAGATAAAGCAGGAGCCCTTCTGGATACAGTTCAGCAAGGTCAGGACTCAAGCCTGAGGTCAGGGCCCCTTCCTTTTCCTCCACAGAACCTCCTCAGCCTTCTATCCCCACCATGGGCATCACTGTTGGCCCGGTTCTCCTCGTGTTGGCTGTGGTGGCTGGAGCTGTGATCTGGTGGATGAAGCGCTCAGGTAGGGAAGGGAGGGAGGCATCTGAGTTTTCGTGTCTCACTGAGGGATTTCAAGCCCAGGTAGAAGTTTGCCTGCCTTGTTCCTGGGAAATACCATCCACACATATGGGCTTGCTGGTCTGGAGCTGATGCTAACATTGACCCTTTTGTAAAGTACATGTGAAAACGAAAGATAGATTTTTCACCTTCATAATTCCAGTTGGGGCCTGTTTCTTAGCACTTGAAGGTCGGAGGGGAAGGTCCCCACTGAGGTCAGACCTCTAGAAGGGTTGGAGATGGTCCAGTCCCCCCACATCTCCTTTCCTTATATTCCTGATTCTGTCCTGGATTTTTAGTTACAGTTCCAAAAAGTTCTCTGGGGTCCAGAACTAAGGGGTTTCTCTAGGATATCATGATTCAGTCTTCTCCATGGATTCTCACGTGATGTTTTCTTCTTGCAGGTGAACAAGGAGGGAGCTACACTCAGGCTGCAAGTAAGTACAGAGCGAGTGTGATTCCTGAGACCCTTGTGAGGGTGCAGACAAGAGGCCATGGGGGCTCACCCTCCTCAAAGTTCCTTCTCTAGTTTCTCTCCTGTGGGTTCTGACCATATCCTGGTCTTGTTCTCCCCCAGGCAGTGACAGTGTCCAGAGCTCTGGTGTGTGACCAGGGCTCTCATGGATCCTAGAGGTGAGACCCTGGAGGGTCCTGACTGGGAGAGGAGTTGCTGCAGGGAGGGACACACTGGGTGGTGGGGGTCTTTGAGTGGGACATGTGAGCATGTGGAGGGCTGTTGAGAATGTGAGCACTTACATGACTGACCTACACTGGTTCATGAATCTTTTCTTTCACAGTGAGAGACAGCTACCTCGTGGGGACAAGATTCCATGTCCCATCCCTGCACTATGACTTCAAGATCTTCTGACTTCTCTTTCTGCAGAAGTCATCTGAATGTGTCTGTGCTGCTATTAGCATAATGTAAAGAAGTGGTGAGCCTGGCACCCACTCTGTTCACCACAACCCCTTCCCACACTGTACTGTTTTCTCTTCTCTGATGGTCCTTCCTGATCCAACAGAGGCTGGGGTTGGGCTGTCTCCATCTTTGTCTTAACTTCTTTTGCATTTTCATATTTTATTGAAAATCAGGATCCAAACTACAGGTTTCCCCCATGGGTCCTCATCTATCTTGTACCCTAGTGTTTGTCTATGTGGGTCTGTTTTGTAAAACTGTAAAGATGTTTGTACAGTTTTAGTATGTCTAAATGTCTTTAGTAACATTAAAAGCAAAGAAATTGCTTTTCCTTTATGATCAGTTTAGTCCTCTTCATATATGCTTTATCCTTACTAATCAAGTCTTTTATTTCATTTTGCAGTTTTTTTTTCATTTCCCTCGAAATATCAATGTTACTGGTTTCTAAGAACTCATTTATGACTAAGGATAGTAGCTATTTGTCATGCAGTTTAAATGAAATACCATGTTTTATTGCCACCTGGTAAGCCCTTAAAGCAGAGTCTAATTTAGGTTTATATTTGGTTGGAAAAGGACAGCTCCAGGGAGGGTGAGGCAGGAGGCAGAGGGGCCTGAGGGGCTGGGCTGTGGCCCCAAGAGCGATGAAGGTGGCCAGTAACCTGGGGGAGGGGAAGGAGTGGGTCTGGGCCCAGAGTGCACAGAGGCCTGGTGAGGCCCCGGGTGGGGAGGTGGCTGCACCTGCTAGTGTCCCCTGGGAGGAGTCAGTGCATGCGCACAAGGGTCATGGGGAATTAGGAGTAGGGTGGCAAGAGAAGATAGAACTGCAGGCCAGGGTGCACATTGAAAGGACCTACATAGTGGGAGCAGTTGGAGGGAGTCAGGTCACACCTCCGCAGAGGGTTCGGGTCAGGCAGCCAGCACAGGGGGCATGGGGCTGGGAGAAAACCCCCTCTAGGGAAAGACCAGTTGACCCAGTGGCATAAAACAAAGATTTTGTTGAGGTAGTGAGAGCCCGTTGGGATGACGGTGATGAAGAGAGGGTGATGAAGGCCAAGGAGGTGGGCAGTGGACCAACGGCAGTATTCCTACTGTGAAGGAGGGGCAGGAGGATGCAGAGGAGATAGTGGTGAGGGTCTGGGACTTGGGGACAGGGGATGAACATGGCTCAGGGGTGACCCACCTTGGGTTAGGGTGAAGACAGGAGAAGAGGGGTGCCCTGGGTGAGGGAGGGTGAGGGTGAGGTGGTGATTTGGGGAACCACAAGAGGGGGCTTGTGATTAATTACTTGGTGAGGGCCCAAGGCACTCAGACAAGGGTGGGAGCAGGGCAGGGTGCCATGGGGGAAGCTGCAGAGGGACCAGATCAAGTGGAGTCCAGCACCTGTGGCCTGGAGAGTGGAGGAATCCAGAGGGTGAGGTTTAGGATGCAGGAGTGGGGGAGGGGCCGTGTTGGGTGAAAGGCCCCCCTTGGATGAGGGCCAAGAGCAGGTGCCTGCACGGGGGCGGAGATAGGAGGATGGGTGTCAAGTGGGGGACAGGTCCTCCCCCAGGGGCTGGGCACTGTGCTCAAGGCCCAGGGATCATTGGCAGGAGAGCTCCCCCTGGTGATGAAAATAGGGCTGTGAGGGTGGAGGGAAGTGCCCCTGAGCAAAAGTCACCCTGGGGGAAAATAAAGGCTAGTAAAAGCCGAGGGGAGGTAGGAGCCTTGCAGGTGACTGATCCTTGCAGGTAAAGACCCATGAGGGGAAGAGAGGGACCTGTGGTGGGAAAGGGGATATGGGGGTGGGGACTCCCTAGGAAGGGATCAGGGAGCTGTAGGGAGGAGGGGGCAGCAAGGAGGGGAGGGCAAATCCCAAAGGAGCACAGGAGATGTGAAAGGCCCCCCTTGGATGAGGGCCAAGAGCAGGTGCCTGCACGGGGGCGGAGATAGGAGGATGGGTGTCAAGTGGGGGACAGGTCCTCCCCCAGGGGCTGGGCACTGTGCTCAAGGCCCAGGGATCATTGGCAGGAGAGCTCCCCCTGGTGATGAAAATAGGGCTGTGAGGGTGGAGGGAAGTGCCCCTGAGCAAAAGTCACCCTGGGGGAAAATAAAGGCTAGTAAAAGCCGAGGGGAGGTAGGAGCCTTGCAGGTGACTGATCCTTGCAGGTAAAGACCCATGAGGGGAAGAGAGAGACCTGTGGTGGGAAAGGGGATATGGGGGTGGGGACTCCCTAGGAAGGGATCAGGGAGCTGTAGGGAGGAGGGGGCAGCAAGGAGGGGAGGGCAAATCCCAAAGGAGCACAGGAGATGGCAGGGGAAGAGGTAAGAAAACAGCTGTGGGAACACCAACACAGCAGAAAGTTTGAGTTCACATTAGTGGGGAGGTGGGATGTGAAGAGGGAAGTGGGGAGTGGAGACCACAGATATCGCAGGAGGAGTCTTTTGGCCACAAAACCACCAGACTAATTTCTGTCTATGAAAATAATAAACAGTCTGTAATAATAGAATGGAGTTTTATTTGAGCCTAACTGACTAGCCTATAAACCAGCTACTCAGATAATTCTGAGAAGCTGCTCCAGAGATGCAGAATTTTCAGCACAGTTTATTTTTTGTTGTTGCTCTTGGTTTATTTTGTTGTCTTTTGTTTTGGTTTTGGGTTTTTGTTTATTTTTTGGTGTTTTTTAGGCACACCAAAGTATTAGTTCCCAGGCCAGAGAATGAACTCGGGGCCAACAGCAGTGAAAGTGCAGAGTCCTAACCCCTCCACCACCAGGGAATTCCCTTTAAACAGAGTGGTATGTCTTGTCACAACAAAGAACATTAAACAAGTTAGGAATAGATTCCTCCAAGGTTCAAAAAACAAAACCCAGACCACACGTGCGGCACATACAGCACGGCCTTGGCACTAGGAGGTAAGTCTTAATGAAAGGAGGACCAGGGTCTGCGGCCCAGAAGAGGGGCATTTAGTTTTTAGGAAGTGTGCTTCAGGCCTTTGTGTCCTTCCCAGAGCTCCTGGTCGCTAGAAAAAGACCTTTAACTCCAAGGACTGAGGCCCCCTGAGCAGTCAGCCTGGAAACTCCTTTATTCCTGAGATCAGAAATGAGAAGAGTCCCACCCCTCCCCGCCCCGCATGTGAGATGGTCCCCACGACACTCACCGAATCCCACCCACACCTCTGAAGCCGCCCCAGGCTCCCAGCTGAGGACCTCAGTGAACCCCACTCCCCAGCGCGGTAGCCAGGAGTTTCAGAAAAAGGCAGCGCGGGCCAGAAACGGCGGGACAATGAGCTGCCTCGCCGGCCGCGCGGAGCTGGACCGCTAGGTGGCGCTGCTTCTCGCCGGGCGATGCCGCCTCCTGGTGTGTGGTCAAGTGGAATCTGTGAGTTCCTTTGCCACTCGCTTCTCCTTTTTGCGCCTCCTCCTTCTCACTTGTTCTATTCTTTTTCCCTTTTTACACTCACCCTCAACCGTTGGAGGGTTTTAGCTGTGCTGGCCCAGGACCTGGGCATTTTATCTTTTCTGTGGCAGCTTCTCAGGGACCTGTCTGGGGCTGTGATGGGAGGCCTTGATGCGGTGATGGAGGCCATAACCCGGCCTTGTCTCTGTTTCTTCGTCGCTTCGTCGGACTGGGGCTGTTAGGCGAACACCCCAACTAAGGCACATACGTGCTTGAATTTAACACACACGGTTGAGTTCCTGTGTTTCTGCGCCCATCTTTTTCAAGGAGAATAGTGTATCTCTTCAGACGGAATTTCATCCAGGAAAAATAAGTGGCCTGGAATTATTGATGTTCCAGGAATTACCCTCAGAGCCTGGACTAGACATGTTTCTTCTGTTTTAATGATATTTTACACCACCTAAACTCATTAGGAAACCCACTGAGGTGGGAAATGTCTCTCATTAAAAACAATCCAGGTAACTTCTCCAGTAACCACCTGCATTAGCCCACTAGCTCCCCTCCTTGCTGAGGGCCATCCCTGGATTATCTTCTAAGATCCATCAGTTCCACACTCTCTGGTGACCCTTTAGTGATTCTCAGCTCTTCCCACGCGAACTAGACCAGAACACTGTGGAGTCTTGTGCCACAAGCATTGGCTTGGATTAGACTCAAAGCACTTCCTCTTCAAAGGGCAGCACTTTGAAAACTAGGAATCTATCATGTTAGTCGTGATGGAAGGAGATTTCTGGAGTTGCAAGTACCAAGTCTACCAGAGAGGGAAAAAAGGATTGATTCCCGGTTTCGATTAACGTGCCATAGTATCTGAGATGCTTTCGTTGGGGTAAGTTGGTTGAAGGTTGAGTGGGACATCTCTATTTTTGCAATGATTTTTGGTGAGTTTAGGATTATTTCAAAATGAGAAGGAGGGAGAGAATCAGGGAGAGGAAGCAGAGAGAAGAGAAAGGAAGTGGAGGGGAAGAGAACAAAGAAGAGGCGGGACATTAAAAATGTCCTTAATGAAAAATTGAGGACATTTCAGGAAAAGGGGCTCTCTTTATTCCTGAGGTTTTGGCCCCAACTCTATTGTGACTTCCCACTTGAGTGAGTGAACTGGATTAGTGAACATGCCTGCTTACAGTGACTTTTTCCTAGACGAGGCTGGGTTGTGTGGAAGCCCACCTCACCATGTTCTGTCATGTCCCATAAGTCCTTCCCTCTTAGGCCTCCACAGTAGGGGCACTGAGCCATCAGGAAGACCGTGGAGCTTATTTTTAAACCCACTATATGTCCTAGTGCTTTAACATATATTATTTCCCTGATGTGTTTTTGCTTATTTGACTGTTTTTTTTAATTTTTTTACCAAACTTGTACATGTATATATTTCTAAAAGTCAAAAAAGTCCTACAAGCCATAATGAAAAGCTGTGGTGCTTATACCACTTTCCAAATCTCTGATTCTCTTTTCCTAGATGGAAACATTTCAATAATCAATTGGCTTTTATCTTCTTGTTTTAACAACAGGTTATATCACAGGAGGAGAAATTGGGAGGTTGGGATTAACAATTACACACCACTGTATATACAATAGATAACTAATAAGGACCTACTATATAGTACGGGGATTCTACTCAATATTCTGTAATGGCCTATATGGGAAAAGACTCTGAAAAGAATGGATATAAGTTTATGTATAACTGTTTCACTTTCCTGTACACTTGAAACTAATTGTTGTTCAGTTGTTAAGTCATGTCTGACTCTTTGTGACCCCATGGACTGCAGCACACCAGGTTTTCCTGTCCTTCACTATCTCCCAGAGCTTGCTCAAACTCATGTCTATTGAGTCAGCGATGCCATCCAACTATCTCATCCTCTGTTGCCCCTTTCTCCTTTTGCCCTCAATCTTCCCCAGCTTCAGTGTCTTTTCCA